ATGGTCCAGATTTGCCTAATGTACAGTCACCTGAAGACAACTGATGTGTATTAACATAACCTCTACAAGCAACTCACGCTCTCTTTTCTTTGAAAGACAGGGCCACACACACACATGCTCCTGCACTGCTCGGTAAGACAAGGCACGTTTCTCCTTTGTTCTAAATGGTCTCATCGGTGCCCTGCTCAAGGCTGGCAAGGCCTGCAGCATCTGTTTGACTGCAGGCCATGGCATAAGGTGTCAGGACTCCAAGGATCCTTCACTCTCCCTTAAGAACACTGCTCTATGCCCCACCAACCCCACCCTTCACCCTCTTTCTGCCCTCTTTACACTTCAGCCTCAGGTGTTGCACTCTTCGCCCATGAAGTGCAGCTAACTTTGCGGCCTTTACTCAGCAGTGACCAAAACGATAACTCTTCTCTGCTCTCTCTATCTTTTACGTCACTTATCATAAAGCTTCTTCACTTCCCCCTGGCACAGCAAAATCACCCTCCCACCCTCCCTTTCTTTCCTAATCTCGTCTGCCCACCACCTTTCTTCTATGCACCATGCTGACATGCCTCTGTCGTCCCCTCATTTCCTTTTAATGCCCTCCTGTCAGGATGTGTAAGATGTCACTTACGTCCCTAATCTGCTGCCCCATTTCTCCACCCTCCAGTCCTCTGTCTGAACCTCTTCCTTTGCTCTCTTCCCCTAGGGTGAATGAGATGACTGGAACTGTAACCTAGGCTATGTACAGTATGTTTGTGTGTGTGTGTGGTAACAGAATGTGTTTCATCACCTGGAAGACTTGCACCTCAGAGGAACAGGCAGATTAGTAGGTAGACTGTTGCTCTTGGCCCAGTGCTCAAGCTGCATTCCCCAGGAACATCTCCTTTTTAACAGGCATCACATTGCCCTCCAGGTCACCTGCAGCAACCCCGTAACCCCAAACACAAGGAAAAGAGAAAGCGATCTGATGGCACTCCCTCCCTCTGTTAATTTTTCTTAGCTCTCTTTTTTTAGTGAGATAGTCAAACACCTTTTCCCCATCCATATGATGGTTTTGCATGTGTGTGGCACTAAAAGGAGCCCCTGCTGAGGTCTCTTTACATGGATGCAAAGAGTAAAAGAGACAAAAAGAAGGCAGGAGAATAAAGGCCTTGGAAGAGAGACATGGTAGAGGGAAGAGGAGAGGTAGGGGTGGTCTTATGACAGAGGGGGTGTGCAGTTAACAAGCACCGTGGAGCCGCAGAAGGTGTGTGTAGCCAAGCGTGAGGAAACAGTTGAGACGGCACAGGCCCACTGAGATGACCATGGAGCTAATGCTATGTTAGTGAGCTGCTAACGGCATGCCTGGGCCCTGGCACACTGCCCTTCCATACAAATCACAGAGGCCCACAGTACAACGAAAGGAGACACCTCAGGTCTGGGGGGGAGTTATTACTAGTGACACATCTTTTGGGCAATGGTTGGGACTCCTTTACCATCTGAGCCTCTCATATCATGACTCATATGCAGGCACCTGGGCTATATAGAGACCCCTAAATCCAAAGTGGTGGGGAAGGTGAGGTGGAAAAATGCTCAGAGCAGAAATAATAACCAGCGCTCTGAGTCGAGGATGCCTCATGCAGCACGTCATCTTGGGTAATTTGACTTGAAGGGAGTTGAAACACCTCTCAGGGTTAGCTGGCATTTTTTGTACTTATTCTCTCCCTAAGGACAGTTCCCTGTCTTGCTTTAATTCCACTGCTAAAACATATACAGTAAATGCTAGAGCAAACAGCTGTGTTAGTTATTTAACTAAACCACATACCACTGAAAATATTATGTTGACTACATAATGGAAAGCTGAAGTTTCTGAAAATAAAAACTCAATTAGATCACTGTGCATGGAAGCACATGATGGTCTTTTATGTTAGTTTCAAACAAGCATCATTAACGCATAGCGCCAACAGTGGTTGAAGTACTCTGATTTTTAAGTATAGACAATACCACAGTGTCAAAATAGTTACAAATAGAAGTCCTGCATTCAAAAAGTTACTTAAGTACAAAAGTATTTACATCAAAATATACTTGAAGTATCATAAGTAAACATACAGATGCATTATTTTGTACATCATTTTATTGTTGCCCATTATGTTGATCAAATCAATTTTAAATACCCTATATGCTGTTTTAATGATTAGCTGTTTTGAAATTTATAATTAGGCTATCATTTAAAGAATTTTACTGCTGGGAATCTTGGGAACTTTCTGCCAAGGATTAACAAATTCTTATGATGATCTTGTATTTTATTAATCTGATTCTGAAAAGTAACTAGTAAATCAATTGGTCAAAATAAATGTAATAATGTAATGTAATAAAGTCAAAGTATGAACAGTCTTGAATGTCAGCAGTTTTCATGATGTCATTTTGAAAAGATATAATTATGCTGAATGATGATTTAGTAAAACTATTTTTATTTTTTATGGCTCTGCTGTTCATGGCCCCTTCCCCGTGGACAACACCAGCCACCAGCTATTATTGCTTGTTATAAATCAAAAACACATTTAAGCAATGGTGCAAAAATTAACACAAAATTATATATGAAAATGTGTCATTTTTAAATATAAGAAAAATACAACTTGGAACTGTGCCAGTGTTTCAGTGTCACACAGATTTTCAAGATGCAACATTACACCAAGACTAGATCAGTTTAAACAAACTGAGTAACTGCCTTGAGAGTGTGTCTGCACTGTGGTAAGGATGTGTGTGCTGCTGGTGGTGGGGAGGTTAATGAAGAGGCACTGTGTCTCTTTATAATGACATCATGGCTCTGACAGAAGCTGGAGAAGACGCCCGAGGTCTCAGAGCGAAACTCTTCAGCTTTGTGTGTGTGTGTCCATCCCTGGGCTATAGGAGTCCTCCTGGGCTTTGTGAATGAAAGTCAAACCATCAAAGACAAAAACAAAACCTGACCACCAGCAATATGAAGCAGAGGACAGGCCATTTGGCTGCTGCCTGATCACCGGTGCCTCTGCGTCAAAGCAGCGTGTGTGAGAACTGAAGGAAGGTACATTTGGGGAAAGAGAGGTGGGAAAAGAAAG